ATATAAGGAGGACGATGAGGCCGAGGAAGATAAGTTCTTCACGCTTGGTTCTAAGTACCTTTCCGCGTCCTTGCCGTCGCTTCGCCTCGAGCGTTTCTTTCGCCATCATGATGGGCCTTGATGCCTTGGATTCCGGGGGAGATATCTGAGTTCGCTCAGTAGTCCCTGGGGTCTTTGGTGTTGAGGTGTGGTGGGTGTTGCGTGGCGGATAACTTGTTTGCGTCTCGTTTCGTTGGGCTGGTTATCTCACGATACTGGCACTTCGAGCACTTCATCACGGTCGCTTACGAGCCTCTTTCGGTAAAATGTCTACGGCTTCCTGTCTATCGTCTACTCGCAGGTTTCGCGTTCGATTGGGGGGATTGAACATTGTGTTTGGGGGGATCACCCGTGTCGTTCTTTAGGCCCGCTCATGTCTGTTGTTGGGTTTTAACGGAGTCCTTAGTTCTCACCATACAAAACGCCCTTGGGTTAGACTGATGACCTTCCCAAGTATCAATACGTCGTACCGGCCGCATCAATCCTTTGGGGAGGGGGCCTCGCCGGCCCCCCCCCTCCTCGTTACTACATGTTTCTACGGTCCGAATCCTACGATGTTGTTTATCGCCCTTCCCTTGGAGTTTTTGTCCTTGTGTCATTTACGGTGGTGCGGTCAGGTGTCTCCTCCTCGCATTCGTGGGGATGGCTTTGACCCTGAAAACTCTTACCCCCTGGTGTGGTTATTGTTGCCGCCTGGGGTGGCGTGGGACGATTGGCTGCCAGACACTGGCGCTGTCTGTGCGTCTGGGTGGTTCGGTTGTGGTCTGTAGTTGGCGGCTTCACCCATTGCAAGTGGGGCCTACCTTCTGTTTGTCTGCTTCTGTTCGTTCGCCCTCCTCCGTCTTGTCGCGTCAGTTGGGGATGCCTCTTGCCCGTTGTTCGGTCTGTGCCTGCTGCCGGACCTGTGGGGCTGGCTTTGGCTGGCTCTGCTTACTCTTTCCTGACTCGGTTGGATTTCGGTTCGGCTGAGTTGGATGGTGTGGCTGGTGCCCATGCCTTCGGGCGTTGGTGCTGCCTCCTTTGTGGCTCCCGGCTGTGGCTGGTGGGCTCCCCTGGCTACACAGTGCTGAGAGTTGGGTCTCTGTTCGTGTGGCCAAGATCAATGGCTGCCTGGTGGGGCTGGGTATAAGCTGTCCTGTAGCTGTCGGATGGTTGATCTGTCTGAGGGGCTGGGGGGGCTGGATAGGCTCTGTGGCATCTGGTGTGTGGGGCTTGGGGGGGGCTGATTGGGGGGGGAGAGGCACCTGTGAGCACCGGTCGGGCATGCGTCAGGTTGGGCGATGTCTAATTAAGTGTTTCCGGACCAGTTTGGGCTGCTGGGTGAAGCTGCTGAGTGCTTTAAAGCTCCCCGGCGGACCGCTGAGCTGATGGCCACCTGTGCGGATAGTGGGTTGCGACCACCTGGTTGGACTTGTTTGGGTTCTGTGTGCTGGGTGTTGTGGAAGTTTGTTTGGTTTCTTTGGTCTGGTAATGGGCATGGCTGGCGGGGGCAAGGCACCATGGGTGGGAGATAGGCCCCACTGACCATTTCGGTCTGTTACCACCTCTATGTATTTCCCTTGTTTATCGGTTTTGTTTTTGGGGGACAGGCAGCGGGTACAGGTCCTCCTTACCATTATGCTCTCCGGAGGCACCTAGCAAAGTGGGTTCATAGGGTCGACGGCCTGGCATGCGGATGCGAGAGGTGGATATGTTGGTCACCTCCTCTCTGCCATCGTGTCGCCTGTTGTTTATATTTGTTTTGTTTTTGTTAGTTTTCTACTGTGGTGGAGGTGTTGCGGGACGGTGTTTAGATCAAGTGGTAGTGATTTTAGGTTTGTTGGACGAGGAACCTGGTTGGGTTGGTCTTTTGCTCGGCTTCGGCTATCCTTAGTGCTGGTTGGCTTCATACCACAGGGGCTGCGAACTTGGACTGGGGCAGACACTGGGTTGTTTGATGGTTTTGTAATTAGTTTCCGTGCGGGCATGACTCGGGGATGGCAGGTGCGGGACCGTAGACCTAGTTAGTTTAGGATTAGTGGTATACCTGTTAGCGGTATCCCTGGGCCGGCAGGGGCTCGTCATATGCCAGTGTTAGCGGTATCCCTGGGCCGGCAGGGGCTCGTCATATGCCAGTGTTGGCGGTCGGAGTTTAAATAAAATTAGATTGACTTCTATGTACTTTTCCTACTTATTACTTTAATGAATATAAAATACCTTTACGATTTTTATTTTTATTGCAACGTTATCATTACACCAAGAAGTGCTCGACACGAAGACAAGTTAGAGAAAGCTTACGATAGGCGTTTCCGATAGAAGACAAAGGTCTTGTATTATCGATAACGTAGGCAGAGGCCTAGAGCTATCGTATGACAAAGAAAGAAGCAGACAGAAAAGATAAGTATCGTTCCCCGTCGCGAAGAACTAACTATCTAAAACGGGGATTGTTACACTCGGATAGCTAGTTCTTGGCAACAGGGAACCATACTTCTCTTCTTCTTCTGTTTCTTTCATTAGTCTTACAATACCACTAGGCCTCTGCCGACATTACCGATAGTATAAGACCTCTGTCTTCTATCGAGAATGCCTATTATAAGCTTTCTCTAACTCTTCTCAGTGAAGAGCTTTTTGCCTGTGTAACGATATATATTGCAATAAAGATAAAGATCGTAAAGGTGTTTTATATTCGTTAAAGTAATAAGGAGGAAAAGTACTTAGAACAACACATGAAGAACCTATCCTGCTCGGCCGCATTGGCCTCCTTCTATAGTGTTCTTCCCACCCATAGCCATGTGACCCAAAATGGTCATATGTGCGAAACCAAATCATAATACAATAGACAAGTCATATGACTCGACTGAGTCATATGCGTGAAACCATTGACCTCATAATGGGGTCATGTGCGAAATATAAATCATATGCACAAGGCATACCTGTCAGGGGCACGTCCTATGACTCATATTTGAGCCATGTGTGAAAGCATCACAAATCCTACACATAACAAATCATATGACTCAAATGAGTCATGTTTGTAAAACAATAACATACCTGTCACTCATAACCACTTGTCTTGTGAAAACCTTTTCCTCACCAAGCCACATTTGTGATATATAGCAAGCTGAGTGAGTGCAGAAGGCCAAGAGAGGGTGGGTAGAAATTGAAGCATGGAAGGAATTGGAAGCAAGGATGGCAGTAGGAGTGTAGAAGGATATTGGAAAGTCTTTGGAGAGTCTACTGCTTTTTCTTTCTTTTACTAGCTTAAAAAGCACACAGAGGAGATAGGAGATAGAAGATGAGTGTCAGCAATACTGGTATGTGATAAAGAAAAGAGGAAGTTTAGCTGATCTCTGTTGTTTATTTATACTCCTATCTTTTTCTATTAGTTTAGAGTTGAGTGAGTTGTCAAGCAAGTGAGTTTTTGAGAGAGTGAGTTGTTAGAGAGAGAGAATTGGAAAGAGAAAATCTTTCATACCCCTCCTTTGACTGCTGCCTAAAATCTTTGGTATTTTGTTTCTGCTGAGTAATAGTCTGTGACAGCAGATCCTACCCTCTTCCCCCCGCCCCACTGTAATGGTTATGGTTGATTTACTACTCAGGACAGCTTTTATTGTTATTATGATTGAGGAGTGATCCTAATATACAGGGGAAACTAGTTGTATTCTAGTGTTGGCAGTATCTGTATAAATAAAATTAGACTAAACTATCCAAGGTATTTCCTAGCATATATCTCTACAAATACTACTTTCTATTCAGGTCTTATATATCTCCCTTATGGACAAACTACGACTAATATAGTGAATAATAGTTATTATTAGAGTACTTAAGAAAATAACAGAATTTTCTTAAGCAACAGGAGATAACTACTGGACAATTACTATATTGAAGAAATGCTGAAGTAATTATACATATTACTTCTATGGTAAGACTCAGTACTAATTAAATAACGAAATCCTAAGAGTGATCAAGTATAATTCTTAATATTGAAATTCCTTTCCTATGTTACATTTCAATATATATATTGATAAACGCTGTATTTTTACTAACTTGGCTATGTTTCAGTTAAGACCTGTACACGGCAGACATTATTACAGCAGGGTTATATTTACTTTAATCTCATAGATATTTCATTGAGTATAGACAGGAAACTTATACATTATTTTCTTATTTACTTATACTATAAATAGGGTTTTCTTTATCTTTTATGCATGTTTATGCTCATTGATTACATATAAGATTTGTGTTATTTCCTTAATATTTCCTGCACACTATCTTAGATTTATATGTACTTCTTGGATTTTTCTTGGAAGGTTTTCGGGGTCAAACACATTCACACTTACATTTTTCCTAATAATATTTCTTCTACTATGAGTCAGCACACTCCTGTATTTATAGAGGCTACCACCTACACAACTTACTAAGAAGAAATGAGGAACAGAACCTCTACCAATCTACCTTCAAACCATACCACTCCTCATAAAATATGGCTATAATATCCTCCTAATATTCCGTAGTTTACTCCAGTTAGATATACGATCACACCTCTTAAGTTACAATTATGAATACTTAATGGATTGGATCACATTCTATACCATACTTATTTTTTTCTATATTCTTAGCCAATAAGCAACAGATAGATTTACGATTTCTTTCAACATACAGTACTGTAGAGACTTTTTCACTGTGAGAAAATGTTTTATTTGATTATAAGTGGGTATTACTATAGATTAGCTAATATTCAACCTTTCAACAACTAGCTATGTCCATCAAGTTTTACAAGTACTAGGGTGAAATTTTTCATGTGTTTCCTACTAGCCAATGGTACCAGTTTGGCAAATGTTCTACAATGGAATGATCCTGGGTGGACCTAGCGTAACCGAACAGGCCTAGGGGCTTATAATATTATTATTATCACACATCTGCCTGCTGCTCTAGCCCTCCTGCATTAAAGTACCAGCTGGGGTGCGAGAAGTTTCCGCACGCAACGGTAAATTTACTGTGCGGTAACTTTCCATCCAATTGCACTAACTCGCCACTTAAGTTAGTGCACGGAATATTCCGCATTCTGATCCGGTGATTTTCCTTCCTAACGGACAGTCTATTGTCAAACAGAAACAAAAAAGAAACAAAAATGGATTCTCTTGCAAGGAAGGTCATTGTAGTAGGAGCTGGGCCAGTGGGAGCCCTCGCCGCGTTGTACTTTTCGCATGCAGGGTGGGAGGTCGAGGTTTATGAGCTTCGGGGTGGTTTGTTCTTCCTGTCCCATTCCTTGATTCCTTGTTTGGTTGGTTCGCTGATGGGTGGATTGAGCAGACCTCCGCCTTCCGGAAAACCTTTCCTTGAATTTCAGCAAGAGCATCAACCTCGCCCTCTCGGAGCGTGGAATCAATGGACTCCGGAATTTGGGCGATGGGGGGAAACTCCTCGATGAGGTGCTATCCATGACGATACCTATGTACGGCCGCATGATACATACCGGGGTGCCTGGTGAGAAGGGGGAAAGTCAGAAGTACGATGTTCGTGGAAGGGTTGGTCTTGTCCGCCGTTCTCTATGTGTGGGGGTTGTGGTAGTGGGAGCTAATGGGAATGAGTGCTTTTAGTTTATTCGTTCAGCAGACCGGGCGAGACTTAATGTCCAGCTGCTGGACGCTTTGGTGTTGAAGGATGTTAAGCTGTTTTTCCACCATGGGTTGAGGGGGCTCAACCTCGATGATCGGACGGCGGAGTTTGAGATGATGTTTGTTTCGCTCTTGCTGCTCGTAACCTAGATTGGATAACTGACCTGTGAGTAGTGGGACTGGGGAGAGAGTTACGGTCGGGGCGGATTTGATTATTGGAGCGGATGGGGCACATTCCGCTACTCGAAGGTTACTGCAGAAGAGTGTTCGGTGAGTTTGGGTTTGTTTATGGTGGTTGGTTAGTGCTTATAGGGACAGTATGTATTTCGAGCAGGTATATATTGAGACTCTATGGCAGGAATACGAGATTCCGCCGGATAAGGAGACTGGGGACTTTAAGATTGATGCGAATCATTTGCATATCTGGCCGAAGAAAGATTTTATGTTTATTGCTATTCCTAGCATTGTGTGCTCATCTTCTGCAATCTGGGGCGATGTATGGAGGCTAATTGTTTAGGATAAAACGTTCACTTGCACATTGTTCATGGAGCAGTGGAGATTTGACGCTATCGGGGAAAGTAGGGAGAATCTACTCGCTTTCTTTAGGGAGAACTTTGAGGAAGTGATCGATCTTGTGGGCGAGGATAGCTTAGTTGAGCAGTACCTGAGCCACCAAAGACTGCCGTTGATCAGTATTAAGGTGGGATCCCTCCCCTCTCACGCATCGTAAGCTAAAGCTAACTCTCACAGTGCCGGCCATATCACTACAAAGATCGCTGCGTGATAATCGGCGACGCCGCCCATGCAATGGTCCCCTTCTACGGCCAAGGCATGAACGCAGGGTTCGAAGATGTGAGTGTGCTTTTTGAGCACATCAGAAGACACCCGGACTCCATGGCCGATGCCCTAGCCTCGTACTCCGCGTACAGAATGCCGGACGGCCACATGATCAACGAACTTGCGATGCAAAACCACATCGAGATGCGCGCCGCCGTCACCTCGAAGGGCTACCTTTTCAGAAAAGCTATCGAGGAGGCATTGTACGCATATGTGCCCTGGCTTGGAGTCAGGACGATGTACAGCATGATCAGTTTCTCGAACATCAGGTACACGGAGGTGGTCAATAGGACGAGGCGGCAGAGAGTGTGGCTGAATGCTGTTGCAACGGCCCTGCTTGTTGGGGGTGTTATGAGCGGTCTGTGGGGAGCTAATAGACTTGGGTTGAGGAAAGTGGGTTAGTTGTGGATGGTTGAGAGGTGGTTTAAGTATCGTAGATACACTTGGGCCGCTGGATGGGGACTTGGTTGGTTCGGAATCGTTCTCTCCGCTTTCTTTCTTTATTTCTTAAATTTGCATGAGTCTAGAGAGTTGTGGTGGAACTGCTGAGGGACCGTTAGTTGATAGACTATTGAGGTTTTACGCAAGTGTTTTCCTTTTTGCCCTACCGGTATTTTACTCGTGACTCCGAGCCAAGAATTGGTACCTCTTTTGGAATAGCGCCCGCATGCCTAGAAAGAGTATAGTGTTGAAGCTGTTTGAAAGAGAAAAGGTTTACGAGTATATATGGGGGAAAGGTTTGGAACAAATAATATTTTCAGGAAATATTACAGTAATTTACGTAGGTATGATACTTTCCAATCACGACCTTAGCCAGCTTTTATTTTAATAAAATGATGTCCTGAAATTTCACAGGTACGGGTTGGAGAGTGCTAATCGAATGATGTCAACGTATCATACCTTGAAGGTACTTTCCGCCAAGGTAAACAATCAACATATAGTAAAATAGAGCATTGAGCGGAAGAAGCGGGAGGGTGTTCAGTCAAGATGATAAGAAACCGAAAACCAACAATATCCCTTCCTCCCTCAAAAAGAGGGGGGAAAAATACCTAGAATCACACATCCTTACTCGGGATCCAACACTGCGGCCTCCTCCTCCCCTCCAAAATATCCACAACCCGACTTCCACTCCTATCCCTAATTGTTCCATCCGCGCCAAGACGGATGAGCAGCCAAGCAACAGCCTCAAACCTCCCTCTCAGCCTAGAAACGTACGGACCCCTAGCGACAACGTGCAGTGCCGTCATGCCCCTGCCATCCCTGGCCCAACATTCGCGCCCCTTTTCAGCAAAACCTCCACAGCCCAGCCCTCCCCAGCCCGGCAGCCCAATGCAACGGCGTCTGCCCATTCCCATCAACATCAACCTCAACCCCCCCCCCCTGCCGGCCTCCGCATGGTCCAGAAACCCCCGCAGCTCCTCCACGCGCACGCTCTTCGTCGCAGAGTGCAACGGCGTGCGCTGCAGCCAGGTGTGCTCCCGCGCCAATAGGTCCGCGCCGTGGGCGAGCAGCACTCGCGTACACGCCTGGTCCTCGCGCCGCGATATGACCGAAACGTGCAGCGGTGTCCAGCCCTCATGGTCTGTTGCCTCCACCGCTGCGCCAAAGGCCAATATGCGAGAGAGCAGCTTGGGCCGCGCGTACTTGCAGGCGAAGTGCTGGGGTGTGCGACCTGTTGCGTCCTCCTCGACCTGTATCGCTCCCCTATGCGCGAGGATGAGCGAGAGGGTTTTTTCGGGGCAGGGATGCGGGGTTCTGTGTAAGAGCGTGTGGGACGGTGTGCGGATTGAGAGGACTTGAGCAGACTTTTGTAGCAGGAACGTAGTCATAGGTTCGTCGCCCGTGGAGATTGCCCAGTAGAGCGCTGGTAGCGAGAGGGTAGAATTCGCGGCGTGCATGTGCAGGATTGTCGGCAGGAGCATAGATAGTCTCTTGTTTGTCAGCAGCAAGGAGTGAAGGTCGGCGATCTCCATGAGTTGTTAGGCGACCGCGACGATGAGTTCGTTTAGGAGGGAGAGGAGGGGGAAGTCCTGTCGCGAAGGCATTTTGGGTATTTGATTGCTTGTAGGTGTAGTTTGTCGAGTTTTTGGGTATGGCGGGCGCTAGTAGGAGTAGAGGTAATCGAAGTGAGTAAAGAAAGGGAGGGAACAGTTATTCCTCAATTCTCCCTTGCCCAGGATAACGACTTCGCGAAGTGCGGTAGAGAATGCGGGAGAGGGGAGCGGTCGAACAAAGCAATCTCAGCCAGTTATCTTCACTATTAAATTTTAATGGTGCGACCAACATCGGCGTCTGGAAGCTACCTGTACTTGTACTGTACTCGGGTGTCAGGGTATCTTGCGCGCGGTAGTACACAACGCCATGCCCCCTGCGGGAAACACGGCTCTCCTGCTGGCCACCCCCTATTTGCCAGCACAGTACCGGTAGCTGCCCATAAACATAACAATCTATATGATACCTCCAGCTAGAGTATACTACACCCTGAAAACAACATTTTCACGATCAATACTGCTACCATGAAACAAAAAGGCACACGCAAGCAGAACCCAGAAGGTGTCAGACACCGTGAAACAACTCAAGACAAACGAATTAAGGTAGTAACCTTACGCGATGAGGCTGGATGGGGTTGGACGAAGATTGGTAGGCATCTAAATATTGAACGACGAACATGTCAGAAGGTGAGTCTCAGGTTTTACGTATGTTCAAAGAATATTTGAATTAACATTATGGAAAGATCTACCAATGTACCAAGGAATTTGGGACACTTTCCAATTGTGGTCGAATAGGCCATTCACCGATCTTTGATGAAGCAGAGAGGCAGCGATTGGAGGCCTTTGTTACCCATGACGCATGGACACGACGTCTCAGTCGGGACGTGATATGCATTGTCATGAACTATGCATATAGCCCAAAGACAGTGAAGCGACTTATACAAAACATGGGATATCATCATCGTGTTCTACGAAGAAAATTTGCAATCCGTCCAGCCAATAAACCCATACTCATCACATGGTGTCAGGAGGGCCTAGGTTGGACCTACGAGGATTGGCTTTGGGTTCTATGGACTGACGAGTCCACCTTTTCTATCTCGGACTTTGGTAGTCGGCCTTGGGTGACTCGAAAAGCATCCGAAGAGTATCACGAGGATTGCATCAATAATACTTTTAAATTCAAGCATCAATCCAAGATGATTTAGGGTGCCTTTTGCGGTGCTACTATATCTAATTTAATGTTCATTCCTGGAAAGGTGAAAATGGATTCTGCTCTTTACGTTAAGAGGGTTATGGAACCACATCTTGTTCCATTTTGGCACTAGTGCTGTGAGGAGTATAGTTGGAGTGCAGTGGTAGAAGACGGGAGGAAGTGGGGACTGGGTCATAAAGGGGTAGCAAACCGATACCGGCAACTCAATGGGATGAAGAAGATACAGTGGCTGGCACAATCTCCCGACTTAAATCTCTTGGAAGCTCTTTGGCTGGAGATGGAGAATGAATTGGGTGAGACCTGGGAGAGGATCAGAGAGATTCCCACCTTGGAGGCTGCCTTAAATACTCTATGGTATGGAATTCCAGCTCAAAGGCTAGAAAGCTTGATCTGCAGCATGCCACAAAGATCACAGGCAGTTATTGATGCTCAGGGTGGTCCAACGGCATGTTAGTTTGTAGATACAATAGAAATTGAAAAGAAAATGTGCCTAACTTTTGTCCCTCACCAATTAGAATTATCAGTTATCACTCTGCCTTCCTAATTTTCTTTAGTTTTTATCTAAAACCCCTACCCATTTCGGAAGAGCCCCCGACTTATGGTCACCCCTGAGTACCCAGGTGTAAGGGTATTTGGGGTCTCATTAGACAATCCTTCACGCTCCTGGTAAGCAATCTCCCCTTTACCCTATTTGTGGGTCTTGAAGAAGAACATTGAAGAATATCATGTCCGTTCTATATCCCAATATGACCGCGCACAGCTAAAACTACGTAGCAAAAGGGAATTTGGGAGCAAAATACACAGGATGTATGACATCAGGAAACTAATCTTCATGAGTGTCTCGAAGTTATTACTCTCTGTAATAATGCCAGTGGGACGTCGGCTCAGATTGGCCATAAGCTAAACATCTAGCCATAGACCTGCCAAAGAGTGAGTACTAAGAACAATTCTTGATAAACAAAAGAAGTCTAACTTTAAGATCTACAGATATACAAATATGCCAAGAAAAACAGCATGTCTTCAAACAGTCTGCACTTTGGAGGTTCACCCATATTTGATAATACTGAAAATAAACAATTGGAAGTGTTTATGAAATTCAATACACAAATGTATTGTCTCTGATAAGATTGGATTTTTCTGGAGATACACTATACAGGAAGCTCATAGATGACTAATAGTGGAGTAGAGTGCTAAGAATATCATTGTTGCATTTAATGATAGAAGTTTACGATTTGCTATATAAGTTATCATCTCCATAATACTCAGTATTAGGAGTAGTAAAACTGAACATTAAATGATTTACATTGAATCCTTTAGACAGATAAGTCAACGTTTTCTACTGTGGATTTTTGAAATTGTCTATACATAACACAGAAAGCCAGTAGAGAGTTTCAAGTTATTTATTTTAACTAAACCATTAAATCTAGATGGGAGATGAAAACAGTTTGGAGGGGCTTCTATGGTATGACGAGGCTAAACTATGTTTCTATTCTCAGCAAAGTCAAGGTTGACTCAACTTTGTATATTAAAAAAATTACATATCTCTGTCTCGTACCTTTCTCATATTACTGTTATCAAAAACATAGATGAGTCAAGATAATATTATAAACCTATTGTGGTTTTATTTGAAGTACCAGGATCCGATACCTAGGAATCACTTTAAGTAGAGTAACACTGCTCAGAATAGAAATCTCTAGTCTCCAATATCCCACTCTGGCCTCCTAATAGGTCCTGCATAATATCATACATATCTGTCTTAGTTGTATCCTGTGACTATAATACCACAGAATTGAAGGTGTTAGATTAATACCTTATACATTACTACTGTCAATTTGACCAGACCCTGTTCACAGAATATATGAGAGGGGATATTCCACTAGGTCTAGGAAGTGGAATGGGGTAAATCCGTCAACTACCTAAAGAGTTACTAAGCTTCAAAGATGGAACATCATTGGTACAAGCCGTAAGTAATGGGATATTTTCATACAACATGATATTGAATGTTAGAGGATTTCTACAAAGAACTAACTCATTCTCATCCAGTCTATGATAATTAGCAGAGTTCAGAACTCTTAGGAAGCACTACCAAAGAAGCTAATGAATATCACAGAGTGTTACAACTAGGTTAAGGAATGTGATATAGTTATGGGAATTATTACCAATACCAGATAACAGCTAAAGCCTTATTACTTAGAACAACCAGAAGTTGCCAACTGAGGAATTATCTGCTAATTGGATAAAATAGTATCCTGCGAATTAGTGAGAAGTCATCTAGAGGATATTTGTAAGTTGGATGAGGAGTTATGGAGATTAAAGTTGACAACCTATGAAGGTTGCATTTACAACTACTCCAGCAGATACGACCTATAGATGAAACTAATCCTCTTATAAATAGGAGAGATAGTGGAGCCAATACAGCATGACCTGAGAATTAGGCCATAAGTTTAAAAACTCCAAACATCATATAATTACCATTAGAAACAGTGCAGTTTCCGAACTGGTAAAAATAGTAAATTACCAAAAAGGATGTAATGGTTTTCAGGGTCTCTGGGTGTTCACACTTTTGGAGAATACCCAACATTGTGAGTAATAGTTAGCAAGGTATATACTTTATATGAGAGATAGATGTAGTCTGGGAACACTCATATGTAGAATATAAATATTAAAGTACCTTCCAAGCTTTTAGACATCATCAAGCAACAGAGAAGAGACCTTAATAATATAACCTTGTTATTACTATTATATTTTACTTTACCTTACTCTTAGTAGTCATAAATGAAATGAGTAACCGTAGAGCCTTGCTAGACAAATCTCCATCTATGAAATGAATCTTACTCAGCCTAAATGATTCTGAGTCTATACAAATCATATTTGTCTAACATGTTTGTAAAAAACTTTATATGTTATGATTTTAATTAATAACTTATTTGAGTTATATGATGTTATGATTGTTGTTCATACATATAACCTGTTTAGAAGTTATGTGAGTTTTATATATGACTTAAATTTTAAGTTATAATTATTATGTTATATTAGAATTATTAGTTGGATAGAAGTAAGTCTTATAAGAATTATTTAGATTTTGTACAAATGACCCAGTTAGAGGTTATAGGAGTTATGTAAATGACCAAGAAAGAAGTTCATGAGTACAAAGAATCATCTAGTCAACTGGAGTACAGCCATAATTCATGATGGTTGAATTTATAAGTAGATTGAAGCAAGGTTTATAGTATAAGGTAGGTGGCTTGTCCTTAGAGATACATCCTCTATCACAACCTCTCATCTAGAAATTGAAATCTCATTATTATAAGATTTTATGATAATATCTACCACCATTCATCCATGGGCTCTGGCCTTGGACTGCCCTTTCTTCTCTTTTTCTTCAGGCTCCTGTCATGTCTACCTTCTCAGGTATCTCCCTCTCTTTCTTTATTGGGTTGAGACTCTTTTGTCTTCTTCCTGTCATCTCTCTCTCTCTACTCCTCACTTAGTGATTCCCATTGGTAAATTCCTTGTTATACTTTTCAAATCATTGGAAACATAGTTTACAGTATAAAGAAACTGACATAAAGGGCATGGTCGATTCTCTTCTACTACTCTCTCTAGTACACCAAGTTAGATACAAATACCATTTCTGATAAAGTGGTACCTGCTCTGGTAGATCCTTCCTCATCCCTTCTGATGGTTGGTCATTGGGCATCCTACTACCTTGCTTGATACCACACTTGTCTGATACTATACTATCATTTCTACCATTACCGCAGTAACTCGAGCAGGTGATTAAGACGATCTGTCCAGGG